TAGAGGGTGTCATAGGATTAGACGAGGATTTTCTTGCTTTGGCATCCTGGAAAGACTATGAGGCTAATAAGAAAGGGAGACTTTGGCTTTCCAGGATCAGCAAGGTGGGTGAGCGAGGGAGTGAGGTCTATAAGGAGGAAAGGAGGTTAAGACAAGGTTTGTGTGGCTTGTATTGTTGTTTAGTCGCTAAGTGGTATCCGACTCTGCGACCCTATGGACTGCAGCACGCTGGGTTTTCCTATCCTTCACTCTTGTGGCTTGTATACAGTTATATAAATGATGGAAAGACTGGAAGGAAACATGTAGAAATGTTAACGCCATTATCTAGGTAGTGGGGATGACGTTTGCATTATATTTTTGTGAAAGTGAAAAGAAGTGTTACTCCCTTCAGTCGTGTCTGACTCTTTGTGACGCCATGGACTGTAGTCTGCCAGGCTCCTCTGTCTGTGGAATTCTCCAGATAAGAATACTGGAGTGAGTATCCCTTCCCTTATCCAGGGGATCTTCCCGACCCAGGGATCAAACCCGGGTCTCTTGCTTTGCAGGCAGATTCTTTACCGTCTGAGCCACCAGTACTTCTTTGTATATGTTTTTGTATTTTCCTTTTTCTTCCATAAAGATGCATAACTTTTAAAATTGTGGCATTGTAGAGGGACCAGAAATTAGAGGTAGCTTGGAACACTGACTTTAGCACATGAGGCCACCCCAGAGGAACGTGTGACAGGAGCACACAAATCACAAGAATGATAGTATAATAAGCAAATGTGTAGGCGTAGAAAGACTAGGAAGAGTTGCTCCACACTATTAAGAGGAGTATCTGTGGATATTAGGATTTCAGGTAATTTATACCATCTTTTCACTCCCAATCCAGGGATCGAACCCGGGTCTCCTGCATTGCGGATAAATTCTTTACCAGCTGAGCCATAAGGGGAGCCTTAAATACCATCTTTTGACTTTTGTGTATAATTCACTTTTTGTGTATAAAGTTTTAAAATGATTATGTACTTTTTTATAATCAGAAAAAGAAGCTATTGTACTTTTGAAAAATAAGCATATTCTTTCCTCACAGAAAATAATAGTCCCACTATATCCTGTGTTGATAAAACAGGATAGGCTCTTGTCTTCTGCCAGCTTGGAATAAACAAGTGGCCTATAGAACCGCCTGTGAACTGCCTATAGAAAGGGCCAAATCACAGGAAACTGGGCCTGCTACAGGCGCTGGGAATGGCCTCTGGCCAACAGCCAGCAAGAAGGTGAAGCCCTGGTGGTACAGCTGCATAGAAGTGAATTCTGCAACAACCTGAGTGAGTTTGGACATGGATTCTTCCCGAGTCAAGTCTTGAGATAAAAAACACACTAGCTATTTACTGGATAGGAGGCAGGCGGTCACTACAGGTGGGTCACTGGAAGATTGTTGCAAAACACACAATAATCTAGAGAGAAAAGGGAGGAGGGAGTGTCTTTTAGGGCTGTTTAAGAATCACTGAAACAATGGAATATTACTCAGCCATAAAAAGAATGAAATAATGCCATTTGCAGCAGCATGCATGGACCTAGAGACTGTCATGCTGAATGAAGTAAGTCAGAGAAAGATAAACAGCTGATTCTTAAACAGCCCTAAAAGACACTCCCGCCTCCCTTTCCTCTCAGACTTTTATGAAGTGTCTTTCAAGTATTTTTCCTATTAAAAAAAATGAGTTGCCTGTCTTTTGATCGCTGAGTTTAGGAGTTCTTTATTTATACTGCATGTGAGATTTGGTGGGATACGTGGATTAAAAATCTCTTCTCCCAGTCTGGAGTTTACCTTTTCACTCTCTTAATTGTGACTTTTAATGAAAATAAAAATGTTATCACTATTATTTATTTTTTGTTTTTCCCTCAGTTTTATTGCAATATAATTGACATAATATTGTATTAGTGATGTGAACTTCACCTCAATTAATTAAAAAATGGGCTTCTGACTCCAAATAAAATTCTTTTCATTTTTTAAGACCAGGGGTTTCTCTTGGGAGAGTATAAAGATGAAAGCACTTTTTCGTTCAACATAAGTGAGAGTTTTCAAATAGAACTATCAAAGAGCTTAATGGATTGACTTGTGATCTATGCTTACACTGGAAATATTCTAGCAGGGACTGGACAACTGTCTGTAATGAATATTATAGAAGGGACCTCTAAATCTCCTTCCGACTTGAAGATTCAAGGATTCTATTCACTTGAATAGCTGATCTCTTGGAGAGATCAAAATTTGAACATTCCTGGCACCCACAACTACTGCATAACCCAAGACAGTGTAATCAAATTTAGGTCATGTGGTAGAGACTAATAAACAGAAAGTGATTAAAAAGTGGCCAACTTTGACAAATTAGATTTTTAAAAAATTTGCAGCTTTAGAAAAATGTTGGAAACTAAGCAAACTGCAAATGTGTTAAATAAAAGTGTGCTCTTTGTTTATAGTGTTGTTTCTATAGATGCTATTTTAAAATTCATCTATTGCAGATCTTTTAAAATAAGTCGCTTGAAAACAATACTTCATTTAACGAAGTTTACCTAGGTGTTTGGTGAGATTAGCTGGCAGTGGCTGAGGTGACAAAAGTGCAGTACAGTCTTATAGAAAAGCTAAGAGAGTGATTTGGTCACAAGGAGAGCCATAATTCTACAAGGTTGGGCAGTCTGGATGTGAGACACAGGCTCAGGTCACAGCTACAGCTAGACATACGGTTCATGTCACGGGAGAGAATATAGTCCTTACAATTTAGGAAGACTCTAAGCTGTAAGCCCCTTAGTCTGACTGGAAGAGAGTACTTTGCTAAGATGTAAATTTAAGGGTATTCACATTTTGGAATGCATGTACAGGTTTCTCACATTATTTTGAGTAAGGAAGTTTCTGAAGATAAGAAGGCTATTACTAAAGTTGAAAGCAGTGTAGCGTAGTGTTTAAGAGCTTGGGCTCTTAAGTCAGAACTCAATTTGAATACCAGCTCTGCCACTCACCAAGTTACTCTCTTAACTTCTTAAGACCTCACTTTTCCTATCTATCAAAAGGGGGAAATAATAGCCCCTGTCTCATAGGCTAGTTTTGTGCACAAGAAAGCTTTCGGCACCACCCTTGGTAAGTATTCCATAGTGTCAGCTGATACTATGTGTGTTGCCTGAATAAATTTTTTAAGTGGGGGCAAAAAACCAAAATGTGAACTAAAATGAGAATGATCCTTTTGGAACAAAGGTATTCTGGACATTCATTCATTTAACAAATAATTATTTAGGGCCACGTGCTTTGCATTGACTTTTACTCAACATCTAAACCATACTATTTTGTATTCCTGTGTGATTATGGATCCTTCACACAAGAGACTTAGAAGTGTAGCCCAATGGTTAACGTAATCACCTAGGGTGATTGAAGTTGTCCCTTCTGGTTCCTGGGTGTGACTAGAGCCTGAAGCTGGTTACCAGGCCCTCTTATCATTTGCTGGCTGATTTTGAGGTCCAGATTAACTCTAGGACTCCCCTGTTAGTATTTCCACTCTTCATTTCTTTATCTAAAACTTTTTATGTTTCCCTTCTTTGCTTCTAATTTGCTCTTTCTTAACCATGCTTTGGTTCCAAATAGGAAAAGGAGTACATCAAGGCTGTATATTGTCACCCTGCTTATTTAACTTATATGCAGAGTACATCATGAGAAATGCTGGGCTGGAGGAAGCACAAGCTAGAATCAAGATTGCCAGGAGAAATATCAGTAACCTCAGATATGCAGATGTCACCACCCTTATGGCAGAAAGTGAAGAAGAACTAAAGAGCCTCATGATGAAAGTGAAATAGGAGAGTGAAAAAGTTGGCTTAAAGCTCAACATTCAGAAAACTAAGATCATGGCATCCGGTCCCATCCCTTTATGGCAAATAGATGGGGAAACTGTGGAAATAGTGGCTGACTTTATTTTCTTGGGCTCCAAAATCACTGCAGATGGTGATTGCAGCCATGAAATTAAAAGACACTCCTTGGAAGGAAAGTTATGGCCAACCTAGACAGCATATTGAAAAGCAGAGACATTACTTTGCCAAAAAGGTCCGCCTACTCAAGGCTATGGTTTTTCCAGTGGTCATGTATGGATGTGAGAGTTGGACTATAAAGAAAGCTGAGCGCTGAAGAATTGATGCTTTTGAACTGTGGTGTTGGAGAAGACTCTTGAGAGTTCCTTGGACTGCAAGGAGATCCAACCAGTCCATCCTAAAGATCAGTCCTGGGAGTTCATTGGAAGGACTGATGCTGAAGCTGAAACTCCAATGCTTTGGCCACCAGATGTGAAGAGCTGACTCATTTGAAAAAGCCCTGATGCTGGGAAAGATTGGGGGCAGGAGGAGAAGGGGACAACAGAGGATGAGATGGTTGGATGGCATCACCGACTCAGTGGACATGGGTTTGGTTAGACTCTGGCAGTTGGTGATGAACAGGGAGGCCTGGCGTGCTGCGGTTCATGGGGTGGTAAAGAGTCGGACACGACTGAGCGACTGAACTGAACTGAACCATGCTTTGAAGGGCTGGCGACCTCAGACCTGATGCTGAGGTTATTTGCTTACTGATCTTTATTTCTGTCTCCTCCGTCCCCATTTCCTCCCCCCGCCCTCCCCTAGGTCAGGCACCCCTCTAAATACCGCTCATGCCTTTTCCCACTTTTAAGATCTTTGCCCTGCCCCCTCACGCTCCCCCCATTTCCGTACTCTGCGCGCAGGCGCTCCACCCCTCGTCGCCACCCCACTTCTTTCCCTAGACCTTGCACGCGCGAGGTGGGTGGTGATACTGCAAGAAGGCATCACTGCGCCCACGTTAGCTGCAGAAGCTGCCAAATTCTCATCCCTTAGCCTCTTCTCCCTGCACTTCCCTAAAGTCAGGTTTTCCCCTCTGGGCCTTGGCGCCGGTAGCCTGCCCGACTCCCCGGTTAAGACCCTTGTCATTTCCGCCTCTTCTTTCGCGCCTCCGTTTTTAGGCTCAGAGGGGCGGAGTTGGGATGGCTGTACCACCGTTGCCGAGGCGACAGCTTGGTTACTTCCGTTGGTATCAATGCTTCCGGGTTGGCGTTGCAGTGGCGCTTCCGACTGTGGGAGCCTCGGCTTCCCAGTCGTCCGCTGAGCCCGAGCAGGTGAGGGGGAGCTCCTGGACTTCCAGGCTGGGGAGCGGGGCTGGGCCGCGCCAGGCCGCGCGGGGCCGGGCTGGCCTGGTTCCCGACCTGGGAGGGGCTTAACGGTCCTTTGATCTCTCTCTCCCCTCAGCTGAGTCCCTTCCCTGTTTTTCACTCTTCTGGCATCGGTGGTTTTACTTCTTCTTCGATTGAACCCTGCTTCCTCGACCCCCCAGGGAGGCCGCCTCATTAAGGCGCCTCCCTTCTCTCCACGAACTCGCTCTGACAGCTGAGGAACTGGCAAGATCCTGCTACCCAGAGGGTGAATGGGTATCTTTCCCGGAATAATCCTAATTTTTCTAAGGGTGAAGTTTGCAACGGCGGCCGTGATTGTAAGCGGAGTAAGCAAACACCTCCATTGTACTAGTGTGAGGGATGCTGTTGAAAGGTGCTCCCTTTCAGTTTCTATCCCCTGTCACTCCTTGAGATCAAGGCATTGAAGGCATCTATTAAAATGCAGTTCAGCTAACTGATTGGGATGACAGCCATTATGAATATGAATTAGCTTCTCAGACAAGGTAACAGCAGGGACATTTGTAGTTCTCTGTCAGTGTTTCCTTGTTTTTTTTTTTTTTCAGGCCAGGGGTGCTTCAAGTCATCATCAACTCTTCCCTCACCTTCATTCCCTACATCATCAAGTTCCTTTGTGTCTCCATTTTAGGAGTTTATCTCTAACCTTGCTGCCAACAAGCATCTTGTCTGCTTTACTTCACACCATCCTAAGCTAGTTTCCCTGCCTCTCCCGTTTGTAACGCATTGCTTGCTTCAACCCTAGTAGGCTAACTAAAATGTGGTAGATTTCCTCAGGTCACTAGTCTGTTCAAAAATTTACAGTATCCCTTCCACCCTGCCACACTCACTTTGATTTCATACCTTTCAACTGACTCTGTTCCTTATCATACTTTTTGTCTGATACTGTTTCAATATAAACAATATGTAAACAATATATTGTTTTGATATAAAATAGTTCTCTGTTCCAGTTGGGTTGCATTCTTCCTTCTGAGAACAAACCATACTGATGCTTGCCTCCTCATGCTGTGTCTTTCTCCAAATTTGTGTACAGTCTGTATACAGCCTGTTCTCCCCTTACCGTCTCCTTTGCGTACACCTGTTAATATTCTGCCTGCCCTTTATCAAGACCCACTTTAAGTTCTCTCATCTCCATAAGCTTTTCCAGATTATTCAAGCTCACGTGGATTGGTTCCTTTTCCATGCTTGTCCTGCTCTTATAGTTTGTGCTATATAGTTGAGCACTTATTTTTTTTTCTCTGATGAACTACTTTGATTTCTTCCACCGGATTATAAGCTCTTGAAAGGCAAGTACTGTATTTCCTACAACTTTTATCCCCACACCCATCTCCTTAATTATCCAGGAAACATAAATATTGTCATGGTGGTAGAACATGTTATGTGGTTTTTTTAAAACATGGCATTTGTACCTGTAGCACATTTGGGCATTTAGTATGCCTTCAGTAAACATTTGCTTGAGTCTCTGTTTTACCTTCTGAATCTGAGAATATCTAATGCTTACTCTTTCTTAAAGGGGAAACCAAGAAAAGCGCCTGGATTTTTCTGACCAGAGCTTTGCAGTAGTGTGACAGGATTATGTAACTTGTGTTCTAGGACATTCTTCTCACTCTTTAGGCTATCCAATTTTCCTTAGTCAGATTTCAGAATACATGTCTGCATTTTGAAGGCATTTTTCATTGGCTTCTTTACACAGTAAAAATACTTAAGGTACTGTGTTTCTCTTTTAACTCAGATGTGGCTTCTTCTACCCATATCTGGGGATAGACCCCACAAATCAAAATCCTTTGGGGAGTATTTTACACAAGTAATTTCCTGCAACAAAAACCTAGGGAGAGAGTCTCTGAGGATCAGCAAAGTGTCATGTGCAGAGTGTGTAGTATTGGTGAGGTCGTGCAAGTTATCTTTCTGATTTCCCCTGTAACCTTTTAGATACAGGCTGTATACATTCATAAAGGACATCACGCTGGAACCAACCAAGTATTTAATGGATGTGTACCCAATTCTGTGTAAGCTATTTTAGGGGTTATAAAAAGTACTATGAGACCAGGTGCCAGCCTTCAGGGATCTTAGTTAAGAGAGAAAATAACATGAGGCAACCAGAATATAAACCTCATCCTAGTCATTATTTGTATGCCTGAGATTTCAGATATAGAAGGGATAAATGAAGGCTCAAAAGAGCATTACACAGCTGTGGAATAGGTATGACATAACATGCATGCATGTATACAGCCTTATGTAAAAGACTTGGAGATTATAGCTGACATTTTAATGATTCAGTAGTGTGATATGACTCCCATAAAAGCGACTGCAGTTTTCGTCTATAGTAATTGAAGTGTAATATGGAGAACAACAAAAATTATTGGTAGATATTTAACCTAAAAAATAAGATATAGGAGAAAATGGTAGCTGTCTTTAACTATTTGAAGGACTCCCCTAGGGGAAAAGAATAAATTGTTCATACTGCCTCCAAAATATGAGTGAAAACTAGTGGAAGACAGACTTTTGGCTCAGTGTGAGGAAGGAATGTCTAAAATCAGACTTAAAGATGATACAGGATTTCTTCAAAACAAGATTCTTTCCCTGCGTTGGAGGGAAAGACATTTTACTATCAGATGGGAGTGGGAAGATGGCAGTGGTCCCAGACTTTTAGGCTTCATGGACCAGTAAAATTGAAATGAAAGTGTGGGGAGGGGGCACAAATTAGGGTAGCCAGTCTTATTTTGCCAAATAAGAACACTAAACAAAATCAACTGCCAACTATTACATTTCATATAAGAAAGGTGATTTTTGAGAAATGCTCCAGGAGTAGGAAGAACTTGATCTTCTAATAGTCCTTTAAATGAGATACATTTAGCTGAAAAAAGGCACTTGGTGCCCTTATTTTCTTTATTTCAATTCACAATTGTGAAAATTTCATTAAAGAACTACTGGGCTAACTGACCAGAGATTGTGACTGGTCTTTCTGCTCCCTTCTGTGGCTTTGTCCCCTGCCTTTAACTGCATTAGTATTATTCTCTGAACCCTGAGTACATCTTTATTGAAAGGCTGGGTAGCAGGTAATCAAGTCAGGCTTCTTCTATAATGAAGAGTTGAACGAAGTTATAAAGAGAGAGCCTTGGAGAGAAGCATAGCTGCCTTTTGAAATGTTTGACTGTTTGGGGGAATCTCTAAATTAGTGAATGGAAAGGGCATTCCCCCTCCCCTAAACTTAGAAAAGGGATATGCCAGTTCCTTGCTTTTCCATGTCTACCCTCTCATTGTGTGTGTCATGTGTTGCTATTATTTGTAGTCTTAAAATATGGGCATAATTGAAAATGTTGATAAGGTAGTATTTAGTACTCAAGACTCTTCTTGCAAGCTGCAGCTGATATTTAAAGTACTTATTCCTACTTGGTTTTTAGAATTCTTTTAAACAGTTTTCCTCCAAAAGAGCTATGTATTGTTGACTCTGTATGTCAGATGGACTGGCTGATCATACTATGCATGAAAGGAAGTTTCCATAATTATTTTTGTGGCCTCTTAAACCTTTGTCTGCATGTTAGCTATCCTTTCTGGAAAACTGTTTTTCTGTGCTTAGTTACAGAGGATTCCTTGTGCGGAAACAAAGCAAAACCTTGTCTCCTCTAAAAAGAGACTGTCAATTCAGTGCTAATCCCAGATTGGGCAGTAGGGGAGGTGGGCAGTATTATCTGTTAAAAAATATATATTTGAGTACTTAACTATTCAAAAAATGTAATAATGGTAACTAATAGTTGTTGAATTAGGTGCCAGGTACTTTTCTAAGAGTTTTATGGGTTTTATTTAATTTTCACAACAATCCTATAATATAGTGCTTATTTTTATCCCCATTTTACAATTCAGCAAACTCAGGCACACGAGGTTAAATAACTTGCCCGAGGTCACAGAATGAATAAGTGGTGGTGCCAGGATTTAAACCTAGGCAAGTCTAACTTTTCGAATCCTCATTCCTGGCCAAAGACCAGTTGAAGTTGCTTTTGAAATTCAATAGTAGTCAGACCTTGAAGATCTGAAAAAGGAACATTTAAGAGAAATCTGAGAAGCCATCCTAAGAAAATAGCTTCCAGCTGGACTAGAATTTAGTAGGCAAGGCCTAGAGCAGTAGGTCTTAAAGCTTGAAAGTATCAGCATTGTTTGCAAATTTTCACATTCTCAGGCCAGACCCAGACCACCAATCAAAAACTTGCAGGAGTAAGGCCCAGCAATCTGTGTTTTAATCTGCCTTCTGGGTAATTCTGGTGCCCATTAAAATTTGAAAAGCACTCTTGAGAAGGCAGAGCTGTGGGGAAAATAAAATTCCAGAGAGAAATAGCTGGGAGTGGCAGGAAAAGAAAATAGGCTGAAAAAATTTGAAGGTGACAGGTCTAATGGGGGCAGGAGGGGGAGGGAGGTAAGGAGGACTAAGAGTAGAATACTTTGTTAAAGAACTCAAGCATCAAAGAAAAACAGTATTTGTATTTATGTGCTTTAAAAGGACAGGAACAAGGAGATTCACTAGATGGATATATGTTAAATGTCAGAGAGAAGAAAGATGTCTTCCATGTTGCTGTCATTCCTCAGAGAAACAAGGAGGGTGAAAAGGTGCTTAACTTGGCCTGGGCCTAGTGGGAGGAGGTTTTGTGTAGCTGGAAAATAGCTAGATGAAATAAAGTTTAGTGGATAGATGAGAGGGCTAAGAATATGAGAGGGTAGTGATGCCAGTCTGTGCTTTGCACCTGAATCAAGCTAACAGTACCATGAACTGCTTTTATGAGATGCCTCAGCCTATGTAATTTAAACTCCAGATTCCTTCACTTGTAATTGTCTAGTTGAATGTCTAAGTTGGGTGTGTTAGATGGACTGAAACTTCTTCTTCAGGTGGGATGGGGATAAAACACTAAAGCAACTGGAGAATGTAAAGTGCACAGGTTGACATTTAAGTGAATCGCACACTTACCCCTACGGAAAGGCAGTAAAGAACACAATCATGGTCATCTATCACATAAAACAGGAGCCTTCATTTTGTGTCATTCCACTTGGTAGGGTTTTTCTCTATGTCTGTTTTGTCTGCTCTAAGTTGTGATCATACACTGACAGGTGCTCCTCACTCTTGTGCCTTGTTCTGATTTGTGTTTATTTTTAGCACCAGAAAAGTGCCACTGTAAGCCATGAGATGTCTGGTCTGAATTGGAAACCCTTTGTATATGGCGGCCTTGCCTCTATTGTTGCTGAGTTTGGTAAGAATGTGGAAACTGACATGTCTGCTCCTTTAGGGTATAGATATGGTAATGTTATTTTTGGTTAAAAGTGGAGAAAAAGAAGCTTGCCCTATTTGTTTTAAAAACTGTTGTCTCATACATCAACATGGATCATCCAGAAACCAACACAATACTGTAATTATCCTTCAATTAAAAATAAGAAAAAAACTTGTCTCAATGCTATCAAGTAGTATTTTCTTGGAAAGTACTACTACTGCAAGTGACGTTAGGAAAAGTCAAACTTAGGACACTGTTTTGGTGGTTTAATTATTTAATTTGCTAGGCTTAAGAAGTATGCATGAAAATATAGAGGAGTTCGGTAAGATAGCGGTTTCTGCTATATTCTTATACTAATGGCCTTTCCTTTGTGCTAAGTTGTTCATAAATTTCTTGGTAAGTATTCAGACTCCTTTTTTTTCAAACCTCTTTCCCATTTTGGAAGAAAATGGACCAACAAGATCAAACCAGATTCTTCTCTTTTTGATTTTAATTTTGAAGTACTTTTTAGATTGTTTTTCATTTTCCAGATTCTCTTTCCTAAATTGTTTGTTAAGTGACCCCACTAGCTTTTCTTGACTTTCTTGTCTTGAACTCTGGCGCTATGATATCAGGGTCATCAGTGACCAGAGTTGCATAATCACTGTGTTAGTTTTAGACTTTGAAATAGTCCTTGAAACATTTTGCCAATATAATGACTACTTTGTCTATGTTGATATAATAAGAGAAAGAAGTTTAGTTAAAGAATTTTTCCTGCTAAACACTGTGCTGGTTAGTCCTGAAATTACCCAAGGAACCAGATGAGTAGGCTATTTAGTCCTATTTAGGACTTTACTATTATCTTGCATAATGTTAGAAAACTGTTTCCTATAAACAGATAAAAGAAAAACCCACAAAACTTTGTAACAGTATTTAAGAGTATGTGGAGCAGCAATCCCATGCTTTTCTATCTTCTTTGCAAAAATTTGCAGAGATTTTATGAGGGGGAAGTGGGGAGACGAGGTGGGAGGTGGGGTAGAAGGAAGAGACAGATAATTGCCAGATTGTATGTTAAGATGAAATTAAAACAACATGTAAGTTATTTTGCATTTGTAGTGTGTTAGGACTATGCTAAAGCACTTTATTATATCACAGTTTCAGTTACACTGTGGGTCAAATCCTGCCGCCTAGATATAGTACATTTCACTTGATCATACACAGCCCTTGTCCTCTGATGGTGATATTTTAGTGAAGATCTATGCCTTATGTTTGCCTTATGTTTTAAAAATTGCCATTGGCCTGAATTCATCCAAAATTTGACTATGACTCTCTGGAAGAACTTATAAATGAGTGTGTTACTTCATAGGAACTTTCCCTGTGGACCTGACCAAAACGCGACTTCAAGTTCAAGGCCAAAGTATTGATGTGCGCTTCAAAGAGATAAAATACCGAGGAATGTTTCATGCCTTGTTCCGAATCTATAAAGAAGAAGGTGTATTGGCTCTGTATTCGGGGTGAGAATGGATTCTTTCCTTACATCATGAATAGAAATAATTTTTTGAGAAGCCGTGTAGTTCAGCATTCGATAGTTTGTGCCCTTTACATTCACCATTTCAACTTGTAATTCAATATTTTTTTAACTTTTTGTTTTATATTGGAGTATAGCTGATTAACAGTGTTGTGATAGTTTTAGGTGAACAGTGAAGGGGCTCAGCCATACATATACATGTATCCATTTGCCCCCAAACTCCCATCCCATCCACACTGCCACAAAATGTAATTCAATATTGATGTGCCAATTTATATTTCACTTGCTTGTAAATCTTGAGCTTTGGATTTGGTGTTCATTTGGCTATAAGTGATACATTTTTTAAAAATAGATCTCTCAGTGTAGCCCTGGATTTCTCCTGTTTTCTTGAGAGTCATCCATAGCCACCATGAATAGCAGAGCACCACTTGACAGTATATATTGCTATGATATTCTTCCTGAGTTGCCAAATCATGACTTAAATTTTTTTTTCCTCTTTTAAGAAATACTATTCTGGCAGTTTAAACAGAAAATGAAGAATAAGAGAGAAGGAGACCCACCATTTTGGGGGGGGGTCATCTGTTGATTATTCATAAGTTGGTGGCTTATTGTCCACTGTGTTGTTTAATCTGCTGCCAATTTACTAGTCCACTTCTGCATCTAGGGTCCCAGTTTATTGCTCTGGGAATGGATATCAGTTTTATTATTAACTTATGTTGGACTTAATTTCAAAGATAATTTACTTGGGGAAAAAAATCAAGAATTACATCCTGAAGCAAGTGAGTCATGGATCATGTGTTTTACCTTGTTCTTTCATTGGCACAGATAACCACAAGATATTTTTTTCAGATAGCAAGCAATAAAGCCAGAAATATGCATGTTTTGTCATCATTTTAAAATCTTAACTGTTTGAATTGCTGCTCTTTATATTTATAACTGCTAAAGTTTAATTCTGCAATATGGAAGAATCTCAAAGGAGGTATGAGTGAGAATGTCTCCAGTTTATAAGCAGAACTTAAATAGAGTGAAATCTTGGCTCTGGTGTCTCCTGGATAAGATTAAAGTTGTATCTGCAACTGCTAGGAATTAATGTGGATTTAAAAAAAAAATCTATGAAGCAGGTAATAGTGTATACTTCTGCATTACTGGATTCAATTTGCTAATATTTTGTTAAAGATTTTCATATCTAGGTTCATGAGAGATATTGGGTTGTAGTTTTCCTTTTCTATACTGTTTTTTTCTGGTTTTGTTATCAGGGTAATACTAGCTACATAAAATAAGTTGAGAAGTGTTCCCTCTTCTGTTTTCTCGAAGAGATTGTGTAAGATTGGTGTTAATTTATTAAATGTTTGGTAGAATTCCCTAGTGAAATTATCTGGGCCTGGAGATTTCCTTTTTGGGAACTTTTAAATTATAAATAAAAATGTTTTAGATGTTATGAGATTATTTGGATTATCTATTCCATATTGATTGAATTTTCGTAGTTTGTAGTTCTCAAAGAATTAATCCATTTCTTCTAAGTTGTTGAATTTATAGCATAAGGTTGTTTATTGTTGTTGAGTCACTAAATCATGTCCAACTCTTTTGAAACCCCATGGACTATAGCCCGCTAGGCTCCTCTGTCCATGGGATTATCCAGGCAAGAATATTAGCCATTCCCTTCTCCCAAGGGACCTTCCCAACCCAGGGATCAAACCCAGGTCTCCTGCATTGCAGATGGATTCTTTACAACTGGCCCACCATTCTTCTAATGACTGTAAGGTTGTAGTGCTATTCCCCATGTCATTCCTGATACTGGTGACTTACTGTTTTTCTCCTGTTACTACCATGACCCTTACTAGAGGTTTATTCATTTTGTTGACTTTTTTCGGAATAACTTTTTGTTTCATTGATTTTTCTCTATTTTCTTGTTTTCAATTGTTTCATTGATTTTTCTCTATTTTCCTGTTTTCAATTTTATTAATTTATGCCGTTTATTATTTACTTCCTTCTGCTTGCTTTGGGTTCATTTTGCTCTTCTTTTTTATTGTTTCGTGAGGGTAGGAACTTAGATTATTGATTTTGAGACTCTCCTTCTTTTCTAATGTAAGCATTTTGTGCTATAAATTTCTCTCTCAGCACTGCTTTGGCTGCATCCCATATATTGTAAAAGGTTGAAATTTCATTTTCATTCAATTTTATGTATTTAAAAAATACACCAATGTCACCCAAGGATTGTTTAGAAGTACCATTTAATTTCCAAGTGTTTGTGAGTTTTCCTTACCTTACTGATTTCCAGTTTCATTCCATTATGGTGAGAGAACATACTGTATATAATATCAATTATTTTAAATTTTTTGAGGTTTGTTTTATGACCCAAATATGCTCTCTTGGTACATGTTCCATGGATACTTGAAAACAATGCATATTTTGCTGTTTTTATGGAACGAGGTGGGTGATGGAAGTGAATAGGCAGTCTAGATATGTATAATCTGCAAGTATACGATAAGGATAACTTTTTTTTCTTTCTTTCTCTTTGGCAGAATTGCTCCTGCTTTACTAAGACAGGCATCGTATGGCACCATTAAAATTGGCATTTACCAGAGCTTGAAGAGATTATTTGTAGAACGTTTAGAAGGTCAGTGTAGACTCCTCATTCTTTTTTGAGATAACACTCAAAGGGATTGTTAAAATTGTGCTTAGTGAGAAGTGTTAATCATGGGGTGTCTGAGAATGGATAGTAGTCATTGCAAGTTCAGACTAAGCTTGTACTGATTTGAGATTAATCCCACTATAGGTTTGAGGGATCTGCTCTTCAAGTTTGTCCCTTTTCCTGTCAAACAAAAAAAGGCTTCTGGTTATCACAGAGGGAACATGGAACAAACTTGTTGAGAAAATTAATGCTGTCCTCATCTATAAGAGAACTTCAGCTATAAGGAATCCTCTAGCTGTGGGTTTTAATAAGCTTTGGTTAGATAGAGTGGTTTTATATATACATAAAATATGGTCATCTTAACCCACATTCAGCATTACCATATGTCTATTTGCTGCTATAGCTTTTTCAGCTAAATACTGTACTAAAATGATTATTTTACTACAGGCCTGAGGCTGTTGCATAGTTGGGGACAGCTGGAGAGCTTTTCGGTTAGTAATGTCCTTTGAATTGCTTTATTTTCTCAATCAGCTTTTTCTGAAGCCTCCTCTTTAAGGATCCTGAAGTATTCTAGTCCTGAAATAATTTCCTCTCACATATTCTTCACTTGGGTTTACCTAGTTTCTCTTCGTAGTCTCTTCATGGTGAGGAGGCATGGTGAAGATTGAATTTTAGAATAATATGCTCTGTGGTTTCTTTGTTCTTTTTTCTAGCTGAGAGAATTTAGTTCCAAATGACTAGTTTTTCACATTTAACTACAGAAATCTTCTGTAAATAAATAGACGCTAGTAGTTATCAAGGCCAATTAAAATTAGTATTTAGGAGATTTTTTTCCATTAGACGTAAGATTTTATTTTTTAATATTTGGTTCTGAGTCTTTAGAGTTGATAATTATCTAGAAAGACAAAATTTTTTCTTTAGATGTTTGAAGTGATTAAAGTGCTATTTGCACTTTCTGAATTTATATGGAATATTGACAGTTATATAGAATAATAGGATATATTCCAGTGTATTTTAGAAATATTTTAAAATAATCTGTTTTACAAACTGTTTGTTTCAGTACTCCTTTGGAACCTAGAAATATTTGAGTTTCTTTATTTTTATAAGCTTTGTAGTTCATTTCTACAGTCATGTCTTTGACCATGGTTCCCTTCCTCTGATATCTCAGTACTCTCTTTTCAGAAACTCTCTTCTCAGTGCCTCTTATAAGCAGACCTTTCCTTGTTCCTTTTTACAGATGAAACTCTTTTAATTAATATGATATGTGGGGTAGTGTCAGGAGTGATATCTTCTGCTATAGCCAATCCCACCGATGTGCTGAAGGTAAGAGAAGTCTGGTTGCATTGGGTGTATTCAGTGTGAAGCAAAAAGAGCATGAGCTTTGTATCAGGTTTGGTCACAAATCACTACGGTGTCACTTGCCAACTGTAAAACCTTGGGCAGATTACTTAACTGCTTAAAGCCTCAGTTTTCTCATTTGTAAAATGAAGATAATTCAGTATATAATACATGAAGTTGTTAAGAATTAAAGATAATATATGTAAACTATCATTACACATGGTAGGTAGTAGATGCTCAATAAATAGTAGTCAATTTATTATGATATATATTAATCCATTAGTCTTCAGACTATAGAGTATGCTAACCTTTAAACATTCTTTCCAAGGGCTATGCAATTTTAAGGGAATCAATTTCCGGATCCCTTACTTTCTTTATACCCTTCTCAAAAACTGATCTAAAAATGAACTCATGTTTATAACAACCCTTTCCCCACTTTAAAAGAGAAAGGCATATTCCCCCACCCATCCCAAATCTTAGTATGGTATATCGACCTGTAGTGTAACCTGGAATAGCAAGCAAAGGGATACACTGAAAGACAGTTTTAGAGAAACCTTCTTTAATGACTAATTGAGGTATCTTAAGTCTATGATGTCGATGTCTTTTCCTGTCTTATCCATATTTCTATTAAGGGTGAGATTTGGCTTTAAAATTATATATTTTGGCTTATGTTGAGATATTCTGAATTCAGGACCAGAACATTATAGGTTAGTGGTACTGAGTTTTTTACAGTATAATTGGATTTCTTTCAGTATTTATCAGAACACAGAATGAAACATTTATTTAATTATATCAGTAATATCAATCTATATTTTATTTAATCTAATAATTGGATTTGATTTAATAGTATCAATCTATATCTTATATTTGAGATAGAATGGTAAACATTTCCAACTTATTAACTCATTTAAACTTATGATAATTAAAATTACTAAATATATGATTGAAATGTATAACAAGATCCCAAGTTTTAAAAAATTATTTTAGGGGAAATGTGAGGGAAAAAAAGTAAGAGAACATATACTTTATTTATTTGAAACCACAGGTGGCTAGGTTAAGTGGAAAGGGCATCTGTTGTGATTCAGAGAGTTTTGAGAACTGAGAGAGTGACTTGAAAAACAGTACACATGCAAGAAACCAGTGGTGGTTGATGAAGAATCTATGAAAATGATATTTCTGGATTAAATTGAGAAAATTTTACCTACAGAATTTTTATATCACTTTAGAGTATACAAACTAAGTATTTTTAAAGATAACTGACTGTATCCTAAAACTCTAAAATATTTGCCATGTAATTACACTTATTAGAAGGTGCTTTTCAGATTCACTTCAGTTTCCTGTCCCTCTGACTTGTCTGGTACAGTTGCAACCACTGACCAACGCTACAGTCTGCCTTTTCCTTTCTTATACTTAGGTAGGGCTGAGTGGTGAGTGGTCCTGGGGAGTGGGGGACCAGGGTAGTCACAATTGTATTAGGAGTTATAATCACTGTTGATCTGTTTAATCCTTTCACTTATCCTTGAGTGGTTCTCTCTCTGAACTATGTGCTGCTTTCTTGCCTGTGTACATGTAGTTCTCTTTTTGCCTGCAATGATTTTTCCTCCTTTGCTCATGAATTTGTCCTTTAAGACGGCTCAGAAACAGAGTCAGGACTAGGACAACACAAGTGAGATACTCTGCTTGGGTGCAAAATGTAAGGATGTGCCAAAAAAAAACCTCAATAATCAAGAGAAATAACATTTTATGCAATCGTTTTTAAAAGTGAAAATGAGTGCAAAAATTTCATGATGAAACAAAATAACCATATTTTGTACAATCCATCTCACTTGCTTACATTAAATCCTGCCCTATTGGATCCTGTCTTTAGTTATAGTTTTGATGATTGGTTCATTGTTGGTTTTTGTACATTCATTTTGATTTTTAAAAATATTGCATTGAAATATCATTTATCTGAATTACTGAGGTTTTTTTTACACCCTCCTGCTACATTCTGTGGCTGAGGAAAGTGCCACACTTACCTCGATGTCATCCCAACCCTGCTCAGGAACTACCTCCATAAAGAAGTCCTCTACTTACCATAGGTTATTTAAGGTTTCAGTTTGTCTTTGTGATAGTTTCTATTTCATTTTAATATGGTTTAGGTTTTATTTCTACACTCTTAGTAGTAGCAGTGGACTTTCCACATAAAAACATATGCCTGTACCATGACTTACTAAGAACATTTATTAAAACCTAGAGTTGTGCTTCATGAGAATCAGGCCTGCATTTGGTCCACTAGAATTTAGAGACTGACTACTATGATCTGTGTGTGCTCTCAGTGGTGAGTTGTACCAGATCTTTGACATGGCCTGTCAATGCTATCACCCCTTTCTTGTACCTCTCAGAGGCTACTTTGCAGAATACAGTGTCATGCTTTTTACAGTAAAACTCAATGTAAGGTCTTGTGAGCATTAAATTATAGTTTAAAACTCCCCCCCCCTGCTTTTTACACCTCAATAAACAATGCATGTTCAATGTAGCAAAAAGTGGAAGGCAGGAAAAACACAAAAGAGAGAAATGCCCATTTGTGGCTTCGTCACTTAAACTTAAGCTACCATCAACATTTGGTTTTGCATATGGTTATTTTTAAGTTTATGTATTTTTGATAAAAATGATATGCCATACATACTGCTTTGCAACCTGCTTTTTCTATCTAGCAGTTAACTGTTGACATTTTCAAGTATCCACAAATATTATTCTACAATCAAATTTTATGGCTGCATACTACTCCATTAAATGGATGTTTTATACTTTATGCAACTAATCCTTTGTTATTTTTGAACATGTAGGTTGTTTCTAGTTTTTCACTAAACTAATCATAGTTTAAATGGATTCTTTTCTACCCTCTCTGAGTACTTGTTCTTTTTTTTCCCCCAATTTTCTTCCAATTCCAGAAATGAAAAAATGTGACTGATGAAAATCATCTTTATAAAATATACTTTGACACAAATAATGCTTTCTATACATAGCTTAAGTCATTAATTTCATCATAATAGCAGGCTGATTTTTTTTTATAATTCCCAAATACTGTTTTCTTCATTTTAAATGAGTGAAACATTTCATTTTGGTTCTCTGACAAAACAAAATGTGCATCTCTTCCAATTTTAGATTCGAATGCAGGCTCAAGGAAGCTTGTTCCAAGGCAGCATGATTGGTAGCTTCATTGATATATACCAACAAGAAGGTACCCGGGGTTTGTGGAGGGTGAGTACTCTTGGTGTTATTCTTTACACCTCGAATTTGTGAAGAAGACCTTTTATATAAAGGCATAAAATTGTGAATTGTCACCTTATACTATGCAAGATTCTTGATAACCCCCAAAAGATAAGAAGGTAAGAAGCTCCTTATCACCTTTGAAAGGACCAAAACTTATCAGTTGCCTTTCAGTTCAGTTCAGTCACTCAGTCGTGTCCAACTCTTTGCGACCCCATGGACTGCAGCACCCCAGGCCTCCCTGTCCATCACCAACTCCTGGAGTTTACTCAAACTCATGTCCATTGAGTCAGTGATGCCATCCAGCCATCTCATCCTCCGTTGTCCCTTTCTCCTGCCTTCAATCTTCCCAGCATCAGGGTATTTTTTAATGAGTCAGTTCTTCACATCAGGTGGCCAAAGCATTGGAACTTCAGCTTCAGCACTAGTGCTTGCAGTGAATATTCAGGACTTATTTCCTTTAGGATTGGCTAGTTTGATCTCCTTGCAGTCCAGGGGACTCTCAAAAGTCTTCTCCAATACCACAGTTCAAAAGCATCAATTCTTCGGCACTCAGCTTTCTTTATGGTCCAACTCTAACATCCATACATAACTATTGGAAAAACCATAGCTTTGATGATATGGACCTTTGTTGGCAAAGTAATGTCTCTGCTTTTTTAAAAAAAATTATTTATTTTTTAATTGAAGGATAATTGCTTTACAGAATTTTGTTGTTTTCTGTCAAACCCCAACATGAATCAGCCATAGGTATACATATATCCCCTCCCTCTTGAACCTCAAGAGGTACCACGATATGATGGGCATATTGTGCCCATCTTTGCGTGAAATGTTCCCTTTGTACCTCTAATTTTCTTGAAGAGATCTCTAGTCTTTCCCATTCTGTTGTTTCTCTCGATTTCTTTGGATTGATCACTTTAACATTATAAAAGTTAAAAGATATACTATAAAATATTGAGAAAATATATGAAGAAGAAAAATATCCAGTAATCCCACTAGCTAGTAATGTCTGTGCGTTTTAATATGCTGTCTAGGTTGGTCATAACTTTTCTTCCAAGGAGTAAGGGTCTTTTAATTTCATGGCTGCAGTTACCATCTGCATTGATTTTGGAGCCCAAGAAAATAAAATTTGTCACTGTTTCCATTGTTTCCCCACCTACTTGCCATGAAGTGATGGGACCAGATGCCATGATCTTAGTTTTTTGAATGTTGAGTTTTAAGCCAGCTTTTTCACTCTCGTCTTTCACTTTCATCAAGAGCTTCTTTAGTTCCTCTTCACTTTCTGCCATAAGGGTGGTATCATCTGTATATCTGAGGTTATTGCTATTCCTTCTGGCAGTCTTGATTCCGGCTTGTGCTTCATCCAGCCTGGCATTTTGCATGATGTTCTCTGCATATAAGTTAAGTAAGCAGAGTGACAATATACAGCCTTGACGTACTCCTTTCCCAATTTGGAACCAGTCTTGTGTTCCATGTTCAGTTCTAACTGTTGCTTCTTGACTTGCATACAGATTTCTCCAGAGGCAGGTGAGGTGGGCTGGTATTCCCATCACTTGAAGAATTTTCCACAGCTTGTTGTGATCCACACAGTCAAAGGCTTTAGCATAGTCAATGAAGCAGAAGCAGATGTTCTTCTGGAATTCTCATGCTTTTTCTATGATCCAGCACATGTTGGCAATTTGATCTCTGGTTCGTCTGCCTGTTTTAAATCCAGCTTGAACATCTGGAAGTTCTTGGTTCATGTACTATTGAAGCCTAGCTTGGAGAATTTTGAGCATTACTTTGCTAGCGTGTGAGATGAGTGCAGTTGTTCGGTAGTTTGAACATTCTTTGGCATTGCCTTTCTTTGGGATTGGAATGAAGACTGACTTCTTCCAGTCCTGTGGCCACTGCTGAATTTTCCAAATTTGCTGGCATGTTGAGTGCAGCACTTTCACAGCATCATATTTTAGGATTTGAAATAGCTCAATGGAGTTCCATCACCCCCACTAGCTTTGTTTGTAGTGATGCTTCGTAAGGCCCACTTGACTTTGGACTCCAGGATGTCTGGCTCTAGGTGAGTGAGCACACCATCGTGGTTATCTGGGGCATGAAGATCTTTTTTGTATAATTCTTCTGTGTATTCTTGCCACTTCTTAATATCTCCTGCTTCTGTTAGGTCCCTACCATTTCTGTCCTTTATTGAGCCCATCTTTGGGTATCTAATTTTCTTGAAGAGATCTCTGGTCATTCCCATTTTGTTGTTTTTCTCCATTTCTTTGGATGGGTCACTTTAACATTATAAAAGTTAAAAGATATACTATAAAGTATTGAGAAAATATATAAAGAAGAAAAATATCCAGTAATCCCACTAACTAGAAATATCACTGTTAACATTTTGTCATATTATCTTCCAGTCTTCTATGTGTACTTTGGGGTTTTTTTTTTGTTCCTATAACTTTTTATCCTATGTTAATCACTTAAGTTTGTAATATTAAATAAGGCTACTAGTAGTACAGAGTATAATGGGAAATTCATTAATAGGTTCTTAAAAGGGAGAGACTCACTTTTATTCTTTCTTTATAATTTTCCCTAACTGTGCTGTGCTGTGCTTAGTCGCTCAGTCATGTCTGACTCTTTGCAACCCCATGGAGCCTTCCAGGCTCCTCTGTCCATGGGTATTCTCCAGGCAAGAATACTGGAGTGGGTTGCCATGCCTTCCTGCAGAGGATCTCCCCAACCCAGGGATCGAACCCACATCTCCTGCAGTGAAGGCAGATTCTTTACCTTCTTGGCCACCAGGGAATGTCAAACATACAGAAAAGTTGAAAGAACACAACAATGAACAGAACCTACACACCTGGATTAAATGACTCAAAGTTTAATCATATTTGCTTTATCTACTTACATATATATATATATATATACACATGCATACCCACACACACACACATACTCTTTGTTTTTGCTAAACTATTTGAAAGGAAGTTGCAGACATCATAGTACTCCCCTAAGAACTTTGTTATGCATGTCCTAAGAATAAGAACAGTCTCCTACATAATGACAATAAAAGCTCCAATATTTTGGCCACCTGATGTGAAGAACTGACTCATTAGAAGGGCCCTGATGCTGGGAAAGATTGAAGGCAGGAAGAGAAGGGGACAACAGAGGATGGGATGGTTGGATAGCATCACTGACTCAATGGACATGAGTTTGAGCAAGCTCTGGGACGTGGTGAAGGACAGGGAAGCCTTATGTGCTGCAGTCCATGGGGTCGCAAAGAGTTGGACATGACTGAGTGACTGAACAACAACAACAAATTGTCACACCTCAGAAAATTAATAAGTCCCTAATACCTAATACCCAGCCCATATTCAGTTTTCTTATAAAATGTTTCCTTGCATTTCCCCTGTATTTTCTGTATGCTGGAGGTTAGATCTGTTGGCTTGGTTAGATGCATGTGAAATGTTTTTGGTAAGAGAGCTTCATAGGTGACCCTGTATGTCATATTGCACCACAGCAAGAAGTACATAACATTAGGTTGTCCCCAAATTAGTGATTCCAAGTTTGTTCACTTGTTAAGATACTGTCCACCACCTCTTACCATAATAAAAGATAAGTTTTCCCCCCTCTGCAATTAGCAGGTCATGTTTATGGTAATATATCTTTTTTTTCATTTATTTTTATCAGTTGGAGGCTAATTACTTTACAATATTGTAGTGGTTTTTGTCATACGTTGACATGAATCAGCCATGGATTTACATGTGTTCCCCATCCCAATCCCCCCTCCCGCCTCCCTCCCCATCCCATCCCTCTGGGTCTTCCCAGTGCACCAGCCCTGAGCACTTGTCTTATGCATCCAACCTGGGCTGGTGATCTGTTTCACCCTTAATAGTATACTTGTTTCAATGCTGTTCTCTCAGAACATCCCACCCTCGCCTTCTCCCACAGAGTCCCAAAGTCTGTTCTGTACATCTGTGTCTCTTTTTCTGTTTTGCATATAAGGTTATCGTTACCATATTTTTAAATTCCATATGTATGCGTTAGTATACTGTATTGGTGTTTTTCTTTCTGGCTTACTTCACTCTGTATAATGGGCTCCAGTTTCATCCACCTCATTAGAACTGATTCAAATGAATTCTTTTTAATGGCTGAGTAATATTCCATAGTGTATATGTACCATAGCTTTCTTATCCGTTCGTCTGCTGATGGGCATCTAGGTTGCTTCCATGTCCTGACAATTATAAACAGTGCTGTAATATATCATAACAACAACATGCATATATTCTGTTACTTAATAACCTTTCATCAGTGGCATCCATCAATGACACTTGAGGTTTGCTTTTTGATAAAAAGGCCCTTTGAGGTACCGTATCTTGATTAGTCTAATTTAAAACCAGAAAATAGAACTAACTAGAACTCTTTCACAAACTAATGCTAGGAGAAAGACAAAGACAGAGCAATAAATAGAATTGGAGATTTTGTCAGGGGGACATAACTACTTAATTTTCATTTAAAATAATCTTTTAATTGTAATAAAATATATATAACACAATTTTACATAGTTGTACAACTATGTTATTTTTATTTAAAATAATCTTTTAGTTGTAATAAAATATATATAACACAATTTTACATAGTTACACAACCAGTCTCCAGAATTCTTTTCATCCTGCAAAATTGGGACTCTATACCCATTAAACAACAGCGTGCCATTTCCTCCTCCCCCATCCCCAGCCACCAGCCTTTTATTATCTCCCTATGAATTTGATGGTTCTGGGTACCTTGTGTAAGTGGAATCATACAGTATTTGTCTTTTTATTACTGGTTTATTTCATTTAGCGTAATGTCCTTAAGGTTCAACCATGTTGTTACATGGGTCAGAATTCCTTTTTTAAAGCTGAACAATACTCTATTACATACATACACTGCATTTTGTTAATCCATTCATCCATTGATGAACATTTAGTTTGTTTCTATATTTTGGCTCTTGTGAATAATGCTGCTGTGAACATGTATATGCAGATACCTTTTCAAGACTGATTTTAATTCTTTGTGTATATACCCAGAAGTGGGACTGCTGGGTTGTATGATAATTCTGTTTAATTTTTTGAAGAATTGAAAATGGCTACTTTTACAATCCAGGCTATTTACATCATCCAGACATGTAAGGTAAAGAAGTGAAATACATTGTGTTATGTATTCTTTTGACTTCCCAGGTGGCGCTAATGGTAAAAAACTCATCTGCTAGTGTAAGAGACGTAGGCTCAATCCCTGGGTCAGGAAGATCCCCTGGAGGAGGAAATGGCAACCCACTGCAGTGTTCTTGCCTGGAGAATCCCAGGGACAGAGGAGCCTGGTGGGCTACAGTCCAGGGGTCGCAAAGAGTCGGACATGACCGAGCAACTTAGCACATTCTTTTGACATAGACCTGTATTATTTACATATTAAAATGCAGGAATCTTTTTTTTCATTTCAACAGGGAAGTATGTTTATGTTTTTCTTCAAATACAGGGCCCTTTTCGTCTGTATTTCATTTTCTTGCTTTGACTGTAATAACATGGGTACTGGAAACATTTCATTTTCACTGGAAGCATTTCCCTTTCTTCCTAACTCCACTGTTAGAAAGAACAGCAGGAGTACAGTAAGAAAGTGAGTGGTGCTTAGGTCAGGGTTGGAGAGATAGTAGAGTGGTGACTTGGAGAGCACTTGCCCTGTTCACTGCTGCCGTGCGCCATGGGAGTCCATGGTGCTTTCAAGAGAGGCTGAAAATCAGCATTCCTGTGTGAAGTATCCATTCCTGTGGTATTTTTTTTTTTGTGGTTTTTTTTTTTATGTTGACAGCTAATTCAGCCTTCTAAGAAACACTGTGTAGGCCGCGCAAGACATGTCTGTGACCAAAATTCACCCCATGGGGCCATACTGTTCACCAAATTAGTCTTCTGGGACCACTTCCTAACAGAGTTGAGCAGGTGGAAGGGTCAGAGAGGAAGGTACTGCTGGGCGAACCAGCCTGCTGAGCAGAATCAAGCATCAGATGAAAGCACAGCTCCATCACGTCCACTTTATGAATTGCGTTTGGGAATTTGGAGAAGATTGAACTCTTAATTTTAACAGGTATCCCAGAAAGCAGTTACTCCTCCTGGTATATTATTTTCAGTTTTTTATCAAATTATTTTAAATTTTATTTTTTGGCCATGTCACACAGCATGTGGGATCTTAGCTCCCCAACCAGGGATTGAACTCATGCCCCCTAGATTGGAAGCATGGAGTCATAACCACTGGACCAGCAGGGAAGTCCCTCAGTTTTTTTAATGATATTTAAATAGTTATAAAAGTAAAATATTCCTTGTAAAAATTTTTACATAAATTTGTCATTTGTGTATATACCTCTCCTCCTAAAGTTAGAATGCTCAGTCACTTCAGTCACGTCTGATGCTTTGCGACCCCATGGATTATAGCCCACCAGGCTCCTCTGTCCATGGGATTTCCCAGCCAAGAATACTGAAATGGGTTGCCATTTGCTACTCCAGGAGATCTTCCTGACCCAGGAATCGAACCTGCGTCTCCCATGTCTCCTACACTGGCAGGCAGAGTCTTTACCACTGAGCCACCTGGGAAACCCAGATAGAATAATGCTATCTCTTCCCTTTATCATTATAAGCATTTTGTGGTGTTATTCTTATTCTTCAAAAACGTGACTTTTTAATGCTCTAGCAACCCTGTGTTGTAATGTAAGCTGTGAGAGAAATAGTGTGCTTGTGACTGAAAAGCTGGTAGTGTTACTGCAGGAGGACTTGTAAGGAAGTATACTTTGTCTTGGCCTTCTCCCTGGCTATGTCATACCTTTTGTGTGATCCTAGTGTATCCTTTGCGCACCTTCTAAATTCTGTGACTTAAACTCGAAAGCTGTCCTCTCCCTACTGACTTTTGCTTCATGCTTTTATTTTTAAAATGATTTATTTATTTATTCTTGGCTTTGCTGGGTCTTTGTTGCTGTGTGTGGACTTTCTCTAGCTGTGGCAAGTGGAAGCTACTCTTCGTTGCAGTGTGTGGGCTTTTCATTGTGGTGGGTTCTCTTGTTGTGGAGCACAAACTCTAGGGCAGGCTCGATAGTTGTTGCTCCCAGGCTTAGTTACTGCTGGCCATGTGGGATCCTCCCGGACCAGGGATTGAACCCATGTCCCCTGCATTGGCAGTTGGTTTCCCAACCACTGGACCACCAGGGAAGCCCAACATCTTTATTCAGATAATTCACATACCATAAAATTTGCCATCTTAAAGTATATAATGTTTTTTGGATATCCACAGACTTGTACAGCCATCACCAGCATCTAAGTTTAGAATATCTCATCATCAGAGAAAAAAACCCTATACCCATTCATAGTCACTTCTCACAACCTCCAGCCCTCCCAGACCTAGGCAACTACTAATCTGCTTTCTGTCTTTATAGGTTTACCAATTCTGGCAATTCATGTAAATGTGATTATATAATATGTGGCATTTATGACTGGCTTCTTTAGTTTAGCATACTATTCTAAATGTTTCATCTGTGTTTCAGCATTTATCAGTACTTCATTTCTGTTTATGGCTGAATAATAATTCTATTGTATGTACATACCACATTTTGTTTATCCTTTCATCAACTAATAAGTATTTGTACTTTTGGGCTATTATGAATAATGATGTTATGAACATTTATGTACAAGTTTTTGCATAAATACATGTTTAATTCTCCTGGGTATATCTGGATGCAAAATTGATTGGTCATATAGTAATTCGATGTTTAACTTTTTCAGGAATTGCAAAAGTGTTTATCACAGTGGCTGCTCTATATGGTATTCCCACCAGCAGTATATAATTGTATATCTTCTTTGGGAAAATGTCTATTTAGATCTTTTGCACATCTTTTTTTCATTTATTTTTATTAGTTGGAGGCTAATTACTTTACAATATTGTAGTGGTTTTTGCCATACATTGACATGAATCAGCCATGGATTTACATGTGTTCCCCATCCCGATCCCCCCTCCCACCTTCCTCTCCACCTGATCCCTCTGGGTCTTCCCAGTGCACCAGCCGTGAGCACTTGTCTCATGCATCCAACCTGGGCTGGTAATCTGTTTCATACTTGATAATATACATGTTTCAATGCTGTTCTCTAAGATCATCCCGCCCTCTCCTTCTCCCATAGAGTCCAAAAGTCTGTTCTATACATCGGTGTCTCTTTTTCTGTCCTGCATATAGGGTTATCGTTACCATCTTTTTAAATTCCATATATATGTGTTAGTATACTGTATTGGTCTTTATCTTTCTGGCTTACTTCACTCTGTATAATGGGCTCCAGTTTCATCCATCTCATTAGAACTGATTCAAATGAATTCTTTTTAATGGCTGAGTCATATTCCATGGTGTATATGTACCACAGCTTCCTCATCCATTCGTCTGCTGATGGGCATCTAGGTTGGTTCCATGTCCTGGCTGTTATAAACAGTGCTGCGATGAACATTGGGGTGCACGTGTCTCTTTCAGATCTGGTTTCCTCGGTGTGTATGCCCAGGAGTGGGATTGCTGGGTCATATGGCAGTTCTATTTCCAGTTTTTTAAGGAATCTCCACACTGTTCTCCATAGTGTCTGTACTAGTTTGCATTCCCACCAACAGTGTAAGAGGGTTCCCTTTTCTCCACACCCTCTCCAGCATTTATTGGTTGTAGACTTTTGGATAGCAGCCATTCTGACTGGCGTGTAGTGGTACCTCATTGTGGTTTTGATTTGCATTTCTCTGATAATGAGTGATGTTGAGCATCTTTTCATGTGTTTTAGCCATCTGTATGTCTTCTTTGGAGAAATATCTGTTTAGTTCTTTGGCCCATTTTTTGATTGGGTCATTTACTTTTCTGGAATTGAGCTGCAGGAGCTGCTTGTATATTTTTGAGATTAATCCTTTGTCTGTTGCTTCGTTTGCTATTATTTTCTCCCAATCTGAGGGCTGTCTTTTCACCTTGCTTATAGTTTCCTTTGTTGTGCGAAAGCTTTTAAGTTTAATTAGGTCCTATTTGTTTATTTTTGCTTTTATTTCCAATATTCTGGGAGGTGGGTCATAGAGGTTCTTGGGCGTGATTTATGTCAGAGTGTTTTGCCTATGTTCTCCTCTAAGAGTTTTATAGTTTCTGGTCTTACATTTAGATCTTTGATCTATTTTGAGTTTATTTTTGTGTATGGTGTTAGAAGGTGTTCTAGTTTCATTCTTTTACAAGTGGTTGACCAGTTTTCCCAGCACCACTTGTTAAAGAGGTTGTCTTTTTTCCATTGTATATTCTTGCCTCCTTTGTTGAAGATAAGGTGTCCATAGGTACGTGGATTTATCTCTGGGCTTTCTATTTTGTTCCATTGATCTATATTTCTGTCTTTGTCTTTTGCACATTTTAAAAATTGTGTTGTTTGTCCTTTTATTGTCGAGTTGTAACAGTTCTTTATATATTTTGGATACTAGTCCATATATTAATATAATATATGCTTTGTACTAGTCCAGATATATGATTTGCAAATATTTTCTCCCATTGTGTGGGTTGTCGTTTTACTAATCACAAGAATGTTTAATTATGATGAAGTCCATTTATCTATTTTTCTTTCGTTGTTTGTGCTTTAGGTGTCATATCAGTGATTTCATTTTTAGTACAGTAAGTGAATTGGGAATTTATAAGTGTTTCAGTATATGCAATTGATGTGAAAGAGTGATCTTATGCTGCAGACTTGGATTTTTTTTCTGCCATTTTTAAATTCCTGGCCTATTTTGTTCACCTTTTGACTTAACTCACTACCAGTGTATTTCCGCAGTGTCTCATGTCACTTATGTTTTGTAGGGTGTTGTCCCAACTGCTCAGCGGGCTGCCATCGTTGTGGGAGTAGAGCTACCAGTGTATGATATTACGAAGAAGCACTTGATATTGTCAGGGCTGATGGGAGACACAATCTTAACTCACTTTGTGTAAGTCAGATAGGTTGTATTCATTCCATATTGTCAGTACTTCAAGCACAAAAAGCATCTTTCACTGAAGTCCTCATCTAGAATTGGTAATGAGTACATATGGCCTAAATACCTTTTTCTCTCTCATCACCAGAACTTCAAGCCTTCTGATAAACATACAGAGATTCCAGATGTAGTAGGCCCTTTGGTACTTGGGAGCAGTGTCTAATTCCAGATGTCTGCAGTATTTGAATTTGTTCATATATACACTCTATACCTTTTAAACTCATCTGTTATTTGCTTTGATTAATTTTGGGTCAGAAAGCAAATTTTCTCAATGATAAAAAAAATAAAAGGGTGAAATTTTATAGGGCTTATGAAGCAAGACCACAGTTTTGGACTGAAATGTTGCTCATTTCATCTTACATTTTTTTCATCTAGCAACTTTTATGATATTTTACTACTCAAACTCCTTTTACATATGATGTTGTGACTTGAAAATTTTACATAACTAATAGATGATGCATAATACTTCCTGCTTAGGAAACTTCCTAGACTTACAGACTATCTCTCTCTCTCTCTTTTTTTTAAAGGCCATATGAATTTTGGATTGAAAAGTGAAGGGGACAGCTTTTGACTAATGTCTCTTTAGTAAAGATTTCCTTTCTCTTTAGTTGGTAATAAAAGAGCAAGTGCTAGGTTTTCTGTGATGTCTGACTCATTGTACATTTATGTTTGACCTAATTTCTGTTTACGCGGGCAGAGGTGGAAGTGGGGCAGTCTGTCTTCTTACAGTTTTTATCTTTAGTTCCAGCTTTACATGTGGCTTGGCTGGGGCTCTGGCTTCCAATCCAGTTGATGTGGTACGAACTCGCATGATGAACCAGAGGGCAATTGTGGGACACGTGGACCTCTATAAGGGCACTTTGGATGGCATTTTAAAGGTACGCACATAGTGAACTTGGATTGTGTTTTTTATTTTCTTTGATGCCTCAGACCTTCTTGCAGTCCTTATTCTTAGTTGCTGCTCTGAAGATGGAAGAATCATTATGTCTATTTTTAGTAGCCTCTTAGAGTAATTGCCAGGTAGGAAAACTATCTCCTTGGTAATCTGCTGATGCTTAGTGGTCCTTGATATTATTATTCCAGTTTGAATGCTTAAGACTTCAGGATACCTTATCAATAGCACCATGTAGAATTACTGATGAAAAGGACCTGACGTATTCCACATTTGCCCACTTCAGACAAGGCAGAGATGCTGTAATAGAAAATCTGATACTTGATTCTAGTTCAGTATTGTACTATTGTTCCCAGTTTGGCTTTGAAAGTTTCTGCTGTGTTATGTTTGTAGGAAGCTGAGAATCATACTGGTATTATGCATTATATAACCACTAGTAATAATACTTCTAAAAAAGCAAATTTGGAGCTAAAATATGATACTATCATATGGTTTCTCTGCTGTTATCAGTTCAGTTAACTATTATCTATCAGATACCATTTTATTTTATTAATATTTTATTTTTTAATTAGTTGTTGGTTGTGCTGGGTCTTCATCCTCCTGGATCAGGGATCAGACCCATGTCCCCTGTATTGGCAGGTGGATTCTTATTCACTACCGCCAGGGATGTCCCCAGGCACCATTTTAGTAGAAACAGAGAAATTACAGTGTATTGCAGGTATGCAAACAGATCAACACATCTTGTTAAGTGATAAACTCAGGGCTCTATGGGAGGAAATTTTAGTCCAGTTTGGAAATTTGGGATAGGTTTCCTGTAGATGGAAGAGTACTGAATATAATAACTCGCATCTGTTGAGTGCTTTATCAGGGACTGTTCTAACGAGACTTACATGTATTCATTCATTTAATCCTCACAATTACAGCACACTGAAGCACTAAGAGATTAATTAACCTGCCCAGGGTTTCACAGCTAGCAGGTGGGAGAGCTGGGATTTCAACTCAGACCATTGGTTTCAAACCAACATTTTTAACTACACCATGGTGCCTTCCCTATGTTGGTGGCTGAGGGTTAGTTAAGTTATAAAGGATATTAAATGCTATGTTGAGATGCTTGGGCTTATTTTTTTTAGTTGATGAGGCGCTCTTGAAAGATTTAATCAGGTCAGATTTATGTTTTAAATAGATCATGCTGGCTTTGTGGAGAGTGGATCTAAGACAGTGGTTCTCAATCTTAAGTGCACATTGGAATCACCTGGGGAATGTTCTCAGCTTCTGTGCTCACCTTAGACCATTGACATCAGAATAGGGGTCCCCACCCTCTGGGGTCTAATGCCTGATGATCTTAAATGGAGCTGATGTAATAATAATGGAAATAAAGTGCACAACAAATGTAATACGCTTGAATTATCTCAAAACCATCTTGCTCCCCTAGTCCATGGAAAAATTGTCTTCTACAAAACTGATCTCTGGTGCCAAAAAGGATGGGGACCACTGCTCTGAATGTCTGGAGTAGGAACCAGGTTGTCAGGATTTTCAAAACTCCTCAGGTGATTGCAATGCTCACCCAAGGTTGAAAACCATAAAACCAAGGGAATAAGCCTGAAAACTTTAACATGTATCTGTACCACCTGGAGGGCTTGTTAAAATGCAGATGGTTAGGCCCCATCACCAGACTGTGATTCAGTAAGTTTGGAGTAGGACCTGAGAATTTGCATTTCTAACCAGTTCCCAGGCAATACTGATGCTGCTAGTTTGGGACCACACTTAGAGAACTGCTGACCTAGGGATAGGGAAACTTGGTGGGAGGCTCTTAGAGTGGCCTGAGCAAGAGGTGATGAGAGGCTGAACTTGGCATGAACAGTAGGGATAGACTTTTTTTTTTTTTTAGGGATAGACTTTAATTGATAAAGTCAACAGGATTTGGTTGACTTGGTGTGGAGAGGTGGGGGAGAAAGACGGTGTCAGAGATAACTTGCCAGGTTTTGGTTTGGGTGACCATGTGGTGACTTTTATTGACAGAGACATTACAGGAAAAGGAGCAGGTTTTGTGGGGGACATCACAGTTCTGTGATACTTAGTTTGAGGTGCGTGGGGAATACCCAGTGAATGTATTTGGATATCCTAGTCTTAACTTGGAAGTTCAGGGGTGGAGGTAAGAACTTGAGGAAACAGTAGTGTACAGGTATTATATAACTGTGGAGGGGGAGACCAAGGAGAGCAGGAAGAAGAGTTCACAAGTTTGTCGCTTGTGTCACACACTGGAGTATTGTAATGCTCCTTCCATTGCTAGTGATTCACAGAAGCAATGATTCTCATACTCTGAAGAGTAGAGTTTTGCAAAAGCCCTCCTTTCTATTTCTAACATGCTCACCCTTCCACTTGACAATCACTGGTATAGAGAGAAGAGTAGGGCAAAAGAAAGAACTCCCAATTTTTAAGGGCTTGACTGATGAGGAACTCAGGAAAGACACCAAAAGATAACAGTTCAGAAGATATGAGGGAACTTACAAGAGATACTATTGTCATAGAAGCCAAAGGAGAAATGAGTTTCAAGAATGGATGAGAAGTTATTTAATACTAAATAACTGGGATAGAGAGATCCAGTATAAGGGCTGCAAAATCTGTTGGGTTTAATATTTTCTAGAGGAGGTTTGCTGGATTGGGGTTTGCAAAAGCCAGATTGCTGCCCATTGGAGAGTGTGTTTAACCATTCATTCATTTCTTGCAAAATTGTTCAAGTGTCTTTTGTGCTACATACTGTTCTAGGTTGGTGAACAAAAAAGTCCTGGCCTTCGTGACATTTTAATTCTAATAGGGAGAGACAGATAAACACATAGGAAGTGAGGATAAGTAGACAAGTGTAAAATACTCTTTCAAGAAGGTTGGCTAATAGGAGATAGAGGGTACAGTAATACAGTAATAGTTAACATTTATTGAATGCTTATTATGTACCACACACTAGAGTATATCCTTTAACTAGCAGCAACCATATAGAGTAGATAATATCTTTGCCATTTTATAAATGAGAGAACTTAGGTTCAGGGTAGCTAAGTATTCACCCAAGATTATATACCTAGTAAGTAGCAGATCTGGGATTTAAATCAGGGTTCATCTGATTCCAAAGTTTATACTCGTAACAACTATGCCATATGATATCGTCAGAAACATATTTTCATGTTGACAGTAACCTTTATGTACTTATATTTACCAGCCATTCATTAATTTGCTATTAAAACAACTTTGCTGTATATTGTCATCATACTTTATTATTTTATCTGTAAGAGTACACTTAGGTGAATGGAACGACACATTCCTCTTTGATGTAGAAATGAGCAGCTGTACATCTCATCCTCTTAACCTCTATCTGCAAACACTTGAATTGCTTCTCATAGACACAAAGCTCATATTATTAGATCCCTTTTTACTTCTTACATCCTTATCTTTGCTACCTTGATTCTATATTCCAGACAGATTGAACAAGTTCTAGTACTAGACTTTGTTTCATTGCCAAGTTTTCATTCTTCAGATTGCATTATTTTTTAATATTTTTTAGCATGTGTTAGAATTCTCTTCCTTTTTATTTTTTTGAAAACATTTTTGAACAGTTTTTTTTTGACTGTGCCACATGACATGTGGGATCTTTTCTCTCTTTGCTTTGCTTTGTTTTTTTAAAATTTATTTATTTTTAATTGAAGGATAATACTGTAAAGAAATTATTTTTTAATTTTTAATTGGAGGATAATTGCTTTACAGTGTTGTGTTGCTTTCTGCCATAATATTGCGCTATTTTCATAAGTGCCTTCCCTGACCATTAAACTATATATGTGTGTGTAGTTTTATGTTCTTGCTCTCCCATAGCATTTATTATATTTTGAAAAACATCTTTTTGAGGGTCAACTCACTAATTCATAAAATTCACCTATTTGTGTGGCTTTTGGTATGTTCTGAGCTGTGTGCAACCATCAACCCCACAGTCAATTTTAGAACATTTTCATGACCTCAAAGAGAAATCCTGTGCCTTTTAGCTATTATCCCACTATCCTCCCAGCCCTAAGCAATCACAAATGTACTTTTATTTCTGTAGATTTGCCTATTGTTGGATATCTTATATAAATGGAATCATAGAATATGTGAGGTTTTTGACCAGCTCCTTTCACTTAACATGGTTCAAGGTTCATCCATGCTGTAGCATGTATCAATCCTGGCATAGCTCTAGAAGAGATGTGCTTCCAGACCACCACAATAAAGCACATACTACAATAAAGTGAGCAACATGAACTTTTTTGGTTCCCCAGTACATGTAAAAATTATTTTTACATTACATAATAGTCTATGAAATGTGCAATAGTATTGTCTAAATAAAACAATGTACATACCTCAAAATGTTAACCATCATCTGAGCCTTTAGCAAGTCGTAATCTCCTTACAATAGTAACATCAAAGATCACGGATCACAGATCACCATAACAAAGGTAATATAATGAAAAAGTTTGAAATATGATGATGAGAATTACCAAAAGTGACAGAGAGATACAAAATGGGCAACTGCTGTTGGAAAAAGGGTGCTCATAGAGTCACTCAACTCAGGGTTGCCACAAACTTTCAGTTCGTGAAAAGTCCATTATCTGCAAAGTGTAGTAAAGTGCAATAAAATGAAGTATGCCTATACTTTGTTCCTTTTTATGGTTGGGTAATATTCTGTTGTATGGCTGTATCACATTTATTGACATTTGTTACATTTTATTGGACAGTTGACCCTTGAGCAACTCAAGTTTGACCTGCACAGGTCCACTTACATGCAGATTTTTTTTAGTAGTAACTACTACAGTACTACACGACCTGTGGTTGGTTGAATATGTGGTTGCAGAGGGCTGACAAAATGTTACACCAGGAGTTTTGACTGCACAGAGGGTTGGTGTCCCTGACAACTGTGTTGTTCAAGAGTCAGTTGTAGTTGCTTTTAATCTCTGTCTGCCCAGTGGACGT